ACCTGAAAAGATATAAATCAGCGCTGCTCTCATACCACTGCTCATAGCTAAACTATTTCCCGACCAGATGGAAGACAGGGAAGGTCATCCCTATCCCAAAACCGGGGAAGGACCCAACTGCCCCATCGAGCTACAGGCCGATCACGTTGCTATCAGCAGTCAGCAAGATCTTCGAACGGCTCATTCTCCAACGTCTGATGGAACACATCGAAGAGCATCATGTCATCGTGCCGGAGCAGTTCGGCTTTCGGAAGGGACATTCAGCCGTCCACCAACTGGTCCGAGTGGAGAACACCATCGAACGGAACAAGGCACTCTCCACCAACACGGCTATGGTACTCCTGGATGTGGAAAAGGCCTTCGACAACGTCTGGCACGACGGGCTAGTCCACAAGCTGGTGCAAGCGAACTTCCCGGCCTACCTCGCGAGAATGGTAAGAAATTATCTCACAAACAGAACATTTCGAGTACATCTTCCAGGTGCTGCTTCGGAACTCCAAGAGGTTCCAGCGGGTGTACCTCAGGGCAGCCTTCTGGGCCCCATCCTATACAACATCTACACCTCCGATGTTCCACAACTCCCTGCTGGATGCAGCCTCGCGCTGTATGCAGATGACAGTGCCATCATGGCCAACGGTAGATCCCCAAACATCTATCGGTATCGGCTTCAGCAGGGCGTAACGGCGTACGTCTCGTACCTGACCAGCTGGAAGATCAAAGTGAACGAAACCAAGAGTCAAGCCATCCTCTTCCGACATAGACCAGCATCAAGACTACTACCTCCAGCCGACTGCCTCATCCGAGTGAACGGCCGGCCTGTGGAGTGGGCAAACGAAGTCAACTACCTCGGAGTCACCATCGATGACAAGCGAATCTATCGTACCCACACCGACAACCTCAAGAACAGATGCATCGCGCTATCGAGATCGTTGTACCCGTTGATAGCACGACGGTCTAGGCTGTCGCAACGGAACAAGCTAGCAGTTTTCAACATGATCATCGCTCCGGTGGTCAACTATGCCATGCCGGTGTGGGGTACGTGTGCTGAGACCCACAAGAAGAAGCTACAAGTGGTCCAAAACCGGCTGCTGAGGACAATACTGGATGCCCCGTTCGGCACGAGGATACGTGATCTACATCGAACCGCAGGATGCAAGACGGTACAGGAGCGAATCGATGAATCGTTTGAAAATTTCAACGAGAGTGCTACACTCTCGGAGCATCCGCTCATCCGAGCGCTGGTAAACTAGGGTATGCAATATTAGGTTAAGTAGGTTAAGTAGATTATCAAATTCACAGAGATACATGAGTATCCAAACACACAATTATTCCCAAAGAAAAACAAACACATACATCACTGATGTAAAATGAATGTTAACTAAAGGTTGAAAAAGTTAAACTTAAATCACTTAACTAAATATCATGTACAAATAACAAAAAGATTAAAATAAATGAACATTGAAGAAGATACCACTGCTCATTAACGCTTCGGACGGCGTGGCGCTAGGTCCTGCATCAAGCAGGACTAGGTTAGCGGTTAAAGGTGGATCACGGCGTGTCCACCACAATGATGAATGATACTTGTAAAAACGTGCATGGAAAACTCCCTCCACCTTAACAAGCCTCTCCCCTCCCCCTTAACAATAACCCGAAAAAGACATGGACTATGTATGACGATCATTTTTTTCGAGAAATAAATTTTAAGCAAAACCCCAATAATGTATGAACAATTAATTTTTTACATGCAGAGCCAACATTTTCAAAAAAAAAATATTGCTTAATAGGAGACATACACTCGATGAATTACCAACAACTGACTGTAAAACATATCTGGTACCTCTATATATGCAATTATATTAACATACAAAGTCCATCCTTTATTACATATTCTGTAAAAAAGAAACTTTTTGCTCCGCCCCATTCATAAAAAACTGCGGGAAATCCTATCAGGTTCTGAACCTGAAAAGATATAAAACAGCGCTGCTGTCATGCTTTTGCTCATTGTCGCTTCGGACGGCGTGGCACTTGGTCCTAGCAGCAGTAAGCAGGTCTAAATCAGCGGCTTAAGGTGGATCACGACGTGACCACAATGAGGAAAAGCCATACATGTACCCCCTCCTTCCTTCATAACAATCTCTATCTCCTCCCCTCAACAACCTCTCGCCCCTCCCTTAACAATCGCTCACCCCCCCCCCTCAACAACCTCTACCCCAATCAACCTCTCCTACCCCCCCACCATCAAATGTGTAAATTGTTTTGAGTCAACCATAACCGAAACATTGGAATACTTGAAAATTTTAAGATAAAGTATAATAGGTAAAAATGCATGAAAAACATCAATTTTGTGTGGTTCTACGTCATACTGCGGTCGTGTCTAGGACACAACCCTTTAATTTTTTCTTCTATTCGGAGTACCTGAAATGATCCTTACTGATAACGGAACTCAGTTTATCTCAAAGGAATTTGCAAGTCTACTGCAACACTATGGAGTAAAGGGCGAACACGAAATTATTGCGACACATTCAACAGGGCATAACTTTTTTACCATTGGGTAAAAATCAACCAAATTTTGCACACTTTCTCATTGATGTGTATTGTGTACATGCTGTCAAACTCGAAGTCGTGTTTTTCGATTTAACGAAAATGGAGGTGAACCAACGCGAGTTGAGAGAACAAATTCTTTCCAAACACCTGGAATTTCCTGACCTGTCGCACCGGCAGTTGGGAAAAATGTCGAACATTCACCATTCAACCGTCTCCAGAGTGTTGAAGCGGTTCCAGGAGCGGTTGACGTTGGACCACGGCAAAGGAGCTGGAAGAAAACCGGGCCCGGAGAACAAAAAGACGGAGGGAAAGGTGAAGCGGATGATTAAAGCAAATCCCAACGTCTCAAGCCGTGATTTGGCTAAAAAGATCGGCATGTCGCAGAGCTACGTCCAGAATGCAAAGAAGAGAGCTGGACTACATACATACAAGGTACAGAACTTCCCAAACCGCGATGAGCGGCAACAATCGACGGCTAAAACTCGGGCACGGAAGCTCTACGAGAAGATGCTGACAAAATATGGATGCTGTGTGATGGACGACGAAACGTATATAAAAGCCGATTTTAAGCAAATTCCGGGGTTGGAGTTTTTCACCGGCAAGAGCAAGTTCGATGTGGACGACAAATTTAAGAAGAAGAAAATGTCGAAGTTCACCTCCAAATATCTCATTTGGCAGGCCGTCTGCTCTTGCGGACTGAGGAGTGAGCCTTTCGTGACAAAGGGCACAGTAAATGGCGAGATCTACAAATCTGAGTGCCTCGAGAAGCGCCTTTTGCCGTTCTTGCAGCAGCACGACGAAGCTCCGCTATTTTGGCCAGATTTGGCATCATGCCACTATTCTAAAAGTGTCCTGGAGTGGTATGAGGCCGATTCTGTCCATTTTGTTCCAAAGGACATGAATCCGCCAAACTGTCCGGAGCTGCGCCCGGTGGAGCAGTACTGGGCAATAATGAAGCGGGAACTTCGGAAGAGCAAGAAGACAGTCAAAGACGAGAAGGACATGTTAAGAAAATGGAAAAAAAACTGAGAAACTGGTACCGGATGACACTGTAAAGACTTTGATGGAGGGCATCAAGCGAAAATGCGTTCAATTTTACACTCAAGGCTCCATCGATTAACTTTTCTTTTGATTTTTGAAGTAAATATATGTATAAAACTACCCTAAAATTTTTGTTTGATTCTAAACATTATAAGAAAATTGGCATGACATTTTCGGTGTCGCAATAATTTCGTGTTCGCCCTTTAAAACATTGGTTAACGCCGTCTTACCACCCACAAGTAAATAATACCGAAAGGGTTAATAGGGTAATAACGACAGCCATAAGAGCCACCATTAAAGGCAACCACAAGAATTGGTCGGATAATCTCCAACAAATAGCTAATGCGATTCGTACATCTGTTCACGAATCAACAAAATATTCACCATACTTTTTAACATTTGGCAGGAATCAGGTGTCCAATGGTAGGGAATACGAAAGGAAGCGAAACACCAACATTCTTGATAACACCGCCTTAACCAGTCAAGAAAGAGAGAAACTTAACGTATTGTGAGCTGGTACATTGAGGTTAAGGCGACGCCACTAGATCACACTACAACCTGTTACCAATTCTAATGTTCTTTGATCTTCAATCTTCAGGGAACGGATGCAAAATCTAAATTTAAATTGTGATGTTAAAATTCATTCACGTAAACTTGTATTTTATTTCACACAGCAACGAGCAACTTGTAAGCAATTTTATTTACAAATATGGGCTTTTGTATACAATATTTCTCAGATCTTTAAACTATTATAATGTAAACTGGTATGATATGTAACGCTCCATCATATCATATTGAAAAAAAAATTAAACAATTATCACTACCTAAAGACCAACGTAGTTATCTCAGAAAGAAGCAGTAGGGTGGTTCTGATGATGATATAGCACGCAACACCACCCTACTGCTTCTCTCATACGTTGGTCCAATCCTTTAAAAAGGGTGGGGGATATTAACCTCAAATAACATGCATATCTCACGAAAAATGGTTCAAATCGAAGAGACCTCAGATTTTTTACACCCCGCCACATAATGAATCACACCCTAATGAAGCCACACGCCAATAAATCCTCAGTGGAAGCACATTTCACTTTTTTGCTCAGCAGTGCCAAAACTGGTGCAAGTATTGTGATTTTGCAACAGAGTCTATCCTAAAAATTTTGCATTAATTAGGTCACGCTAAATTGAGAAAATATATACCTACCTAATGTATTGCTTATCACAAAATCTTACACCCCTTAAAGCGTGACATACTATATACATCACCCCCTATATGCAAACAGAAATTTCCATAGGTCGTTCGGGATTGGTCATCCAAAAGGTTCAAAATAATACTAACAATTAATTTGCAGAAACGTTTTTTTTTTTTTTAATGTTCATTGGAAGTCATGATTTTACCTGTACACATTTCGGTTGACACACAGAATAAACTTTCAATAATACCCCAAAAATATCGCAGGGGTAACCGGGGGATCCGTAATGCACTGGGATCCTTCATCAGTTCGTGGTCGACAGTTACTTGTGTTAATATCGAAGATTAAGCCATCAGCGCACTGCAGAGGACCGATCTTGTCACCGTCCAGACAGATGAAGTAGGATTCGCAGGATCCGGTCTCCGGAATGTAGTGCAGTCCAGTCGGAGGACATTCGGTTAGATTTGGAGGCACTGTTACTACCTGTGAAATTGAAGCGAATATTTAACTTCTTTTAAAAAGTGTTTCTTTTTATTTATAGGAAAGTTTGAACATACTGAGAGGTAAGCACATATCATCGGTAAAAGACGTGTGTGTGAGAAAATTTGCGAAAAAATCTAAGGGCACCGGTGGAGTGCGAACCCACAATTCCCATTCAGTACACGGGTGCATTGCCAATTATACAACGGTGGGCCTATGGTCTACGGATTTATTTGGCTAATAACCTAATGGCTAATCCCACCGGTGCCCTTAGATTTTTTCGCAAATTTTCTCACACACACGTCTCTTACCGATGATATGTGCTTACCTCTCAGTATGTTCAAACTTTCCTATAAACAATTAAATTGACTGCAAAGTTGCTAAGCCGTAAATCAAAAAATGTTTCTTTTTATAAAGTCACTTTAACGATCCTAGGTAGTTCGTGACATGTGATTGTTGTAGCTGGGAATATTTCACATTAGTGCAGATAGAAAACTTTTCCGTAGATTACTACAGGGAAGAACTAGAACGATGAGAACAAAAAGTTCACTTTTCCCACATCGTTCGAAAAATTCATGTAAATTTCTGCGAGATCTAGCACACATAAAATTAACGCTAGATTTAGCATAAATTTACGCGATATTTCGTGTAAATTTAAGCGCAACATCGCATAAATTAGCAATATTGTATGCAAGCTTGTAAACGATTTCACTGTTTATGCCAAGTATAGCTCAAAATTAAGCGAAGGGAGATTTTACGCGATTGTTAAAATTCAGAACTTTTTTCTGTGCATACTAATTCCCGTAGAAACATTAAAGAGCCAGTGTAGTTCGGAGAATGATCAGTCCCTTATTTCGAAATCGATTGAGTTTGGTGGAGCAAAATCGATATTTTGAAACACCCTCAAAATGTTTTAATGTATTTTTCGTCAACTGTCCCCTTTATAATTATTAATTAATAATTAATAATTTTGATTCGTCCTTATATATAGAAGCTATTCTGTAGCTTAATGTATTTCCATTTAATTCCACTACCTTACTTGCTCATCCTTGACAGATACGCGTATTTCGTCTGCAATCTACAGACTTCTCCGGTGTCTTGTACTAATACTCGACTATTGACCTACACAGCAAAAAAATAATTTTGATATCACGTCAAAGTGGATGCACTACAATCATGTCGAAAATATGGTGTAATACTACTTGCTAAAAAGGACAAAATTATCATTAATACAATGCATGAACTGACATTACGCTGCTTTTGCTGCATTTGTTTATTTATGTGGTCATAAAAATTACATGAAATTTTCGACATGATTGTAGTGCATCCACTTTGATGTGATATCAAAATTATTTTTTTGCTGTGTAATACAAGGCAATTAATAAGTCTGTACATTGTATACGAAATACGCGTATCTGTCAAGCACACTTAGAAATAACTAATTTTACACGTGACGGAATCCGTCTTTGACATAAAAGATGAGACGTAAACAAACATGTCATGTAATATTAAATGCTCCGACACTGAAAACTTCGTTGCTCTACGAAAAGTACGTTTGATTGAGCTATATTTCGCGTCTATTATGACTAATCTTTATGTGAAAATTGACGCTCGTATATGTCACTCTCAGAGCACCTAAATTTACATTAACTTTTCTAAGTGTGAGGATAAGCAATCAACATTATACAGATTATACAGACTATAGGCGCACATTCATCAGGATTCATTCTGTCATTCAATTTGAATTGAATATGCACATTTGTAACACGTAATACAAAGTTCGATATGGCCAGTCGTTTCTCGACTCACATCTTAGCACATTTTGTTCTCATTAAGTGATCTGGCAATTCAAAAGATAATGGCTTTAGCCTAAAATGTTTCACATATGTGTGTATGTTGAGATCCCATGGAACAAAATAAAAAATACCTCGTTTGTCCACGTAGCAAACAATAAAGAGTTAGAATAACAATAAAGAATTTGTTGGTGTGTATTTTATCAATTTTTCGTAACGTCTTACAATCGTATGTTAATTAAAAAGTTATGAGATTGACAATCAATAATTAAAGCATTGCATAGGTTTGTTTGCATCATAATTCTTTCAAAATTCCAGTTAACTAACATCTCAGGAGTGCTGCTCTGATGTTGAGTCAGCAAGGTATTGATAGCGTGCCTGTTTAAAAACAAACGTTTTTTAACCAATCAATATTATAGGACATTTTGCATGTCGTGTTGTTACATTCGACCGTGCGCATTTTGCGACCGTGCGGTTTAATAACGAATTATAATGAGTAATATCTCATGGAAAGCGTAGTTATCATTTTTAGGCAACCCACAGCTGTTTTACATTGAAGATTTGCAATATTTGAACTTTTATTAGGAAAAACAATAGGTCGTTTGAACAGTTTTACACTTCTGTCAAATTTGTTACATACGACGATCCACGATATAAAAAAAACCTATGTGAATGTGTTTCCCCGAAGCTTGAAAGAAAGACCAATTGAGCGACGTGAGAAAGAGAGACAAGCGTCAATGCATCATAGAGATTGCTAAAGTATGATTGTGTCAGTGATTTGTTTTCATCGGGAAAATTTTCCGCTATGAAGTTTTTTTTTCCCGATGAAAACATTTTGCGTATACGTATACGTGACGTAGTATGCGTACGATAAACGTCAGCATTCTCTATAAATATCACCTGGTATAGAACTTTTTGACGTTTAATCGTCTTTCTCTATCTAGCACACCTGAATGAATGGACGGTTTGTTTTCCCACTAATCTGTTTCCCTCTTACTCGCACTCATTCGATTTGAATGGTGTAGTACCCAACAAACAATCGTCTATTGACGAAACGACATCTTGGCCATTTTATTCAACTGCATGCTTAATAGTACTTGTACTATTTTTAATAATAACTTCTGTTCAGGCTTTGTTCACACAAATCTGGAGAATTTATTCAACCTCAACATTGAACTACTGGTGTTGTTATAAGGTATGTCGAGAAGCTTTTATTCGACTTATGAGTTGTAACAGAGTTTATACGATAACATTTTTGATTATTCAGTGTTTATTAGACATCACTGCTTCCTTAAAACAGTGATGCTCTGTATACGCTTTATTATCATGTGAAGTAACGTTTAATTAGACATTATTATACATTTATTAAACGATTATTCAACTGTGGGAAAATTAACCCGAAACTAAGAGGACAGGGGACAGGGGACAGGGAAGGGTGTTTTGTGTTTCTTAAGTGTATTGTAATTCAATATTTCTGACGTGGCTCAGATATTAGAAAATTTATTAAATACTTATACATGCCATTATTGTATGGGATTCGAACCATGTACCTTCCGATCACCAGCCGCTTGCCTTGTCATCTGAGTTATCCTAGAATTCATCATATGGGCAACTCAATAATCTATAAAAAGCTTGCATGAAAGTAGATACCTATCAGCACTCCCGATCGCAACTCTAGCTCCTTCAAGGCCCTGTAGGAATGATTAATTCATTCGTCGTTGTTTTAAATGAGACTAATGTTGCCTCTTCACATCTCCAAGTCGAAAAAAAGGATGCTCGGTTATATTTAAAACTAGATCAATGTATTCATTATCGTGAGTCATGTGATCGATATTACTATTTAAATTAATTATGTTCTACGCAAATATATAAAAAAAAAGTTGAGCTTGGGATTGAACTCACGACCTTCTAATTGGAAAACGGAAACGGTAACGACTACTCTACTGATTTCGCCTTGTTGTAAGACTGAATCAGTGTTGTCGAATAATGAATCTAATACGTCGTTTATAAAGCATTTACAAATCATGTGATTACAACATGGACGCATAGTTGTATAAGAGCTCCTTTATTCAGCAATATTGTAAAGTAATGCAATGAAATCTAATGAAGGAGCTGGAGATCATTTATTAGACGTCTAATAAAGCATGTTATTAAATCAATTGAAAACAGTTGAATTAAAGTGTCAATGTATGTACAAATTACACTTATTCAGTTTGTTATTAGATCGAACTTCTGGCGTTGAATTAGGAAGACATTTAACACCTTTACAGCTTTTAATAAGTAAATTAATCAGATCAGAGTGGAACAATGAGCTTTTTCAGCACATAATTCGACAACTCTTTTTATTCAGCATTGTACACTGTTATACAGCATTTATTCAATATATATGCTTATTTGTGACTTTGAATTGTTTGTTGAGTGGTTTATAAAGCTTTTAATAAGGAAATTAATCATACACACTTAGATTTTTTTGCCGAGATGGGCACCACCGAGCAGCTCGGCATTTTATTTTGCTGGAAATTCAGCAAAAAATATGTTTGTTAGCTGAGATCTCGGCAAAATTCCCGTTTGTTAGCTGAATCTCGGCAAGTTTTTCACTGAGATCCAGCAAAATAAAATGCCGAGCTGCTCGGTGGTGCCCATCTCGGCAAAAAATCTAAGTGTGTACGGCGGAATAAAAGCGCATCTATCGATCTCAATGAGCTTTGTTCAGCACATAATTCGACATCCTGTTTTATTCAGCATTGTACACTGTTATACAGCAATTATTCAATGTGTATGCTTATTTGTGACTTTGAATTTTTTGTTGGGTAGTGTGCGCCGATTAAACGTCAAAAAGCTCTATGGTGAGCAAATCTTACCATCTCTTTTATTTTTTTCACTATTCAATACAACATCAAATGTGACGTCATACATATGCGTGCATAAGAATATTATAGACAAAACATTCGCCAGGTTGCTTCCACTCACTTGCTATAAAAAATGATTTTCGGAATTATAAAATCATTAGATGTTATTATTAGAGTCGGTGTATAATGAGTCACGCCAAGAGTGAAGCCAAGTCTACCTATTGAACTGTCAAACCGGCTACCTATCGTGCAAAGTAAATAAACATTACGATTCTATGAAAGGTCCACGAAAGGTATTGCAATAACATATAAAATATAATCAAAGAAATGAGCATAAACACGCAGTGAGCGTTAAATTGTCATGGGATACGCTCGGTATTGATTAGTAATGTGAATTTCTACAATTTTTTGTTAAGATAATTTGACAAAATCACTGATATAATGATTTACTACAGCCGCAATATTTTTTCTCTCGCTAGAAGTCATTTGAAGTTGTTGTAGAAGTCCTCTGTTGCCAAGTGAAAAGAATGAGAATCTTTCGAAAACCGTGATGCGAGTTCAACTGTTTTTCTCTTGGCGTGACTCATTATACACCGACTCTAGTTATTATGATATTTTGCACATGCAACTTAATAGAAGAGATTGTAAAGTATGAATTTGACACATGAAAACTGTCAATTTTGCTTTCAGAGTGTCACAATCAGCGATTTTATGATTCGTGAGCGTTTACTGAGAGTGAGAGCTCGCGAGTCGTAAAATCGTTGATCGTGACTATCTGAGAGTGAATTTGACTGGTTTATGTGTCAAACATTTGCCTCTTCTTGTATCTAACAAGTACAAAATATCATTATAACATCTTATTATTCCAAAATCAAGAAAATCATTTTTCATAGCAAGTGAGTGGAAGCAAGCCTGACGTTTATATTGCTAGACCACGCTGTATAATATTTTATTTACATTCCTGTGCGGGAAAGCGAATGACCAGCTACGTGCACTGCTGGCATCTCCTTTGTTTGTGTTTAATTCAATGTTTTTTTTTGCCTTTGTAATTGGAACGTTTAAGTTCCAAAAAAGCTCCATTTAATTTTACTTAGCCAGTTTATATGTATTCACCATTAAAAACATCCACTCATCTAAGTTATTAGTTTAGACTTCGTATTTGGATGTGTTAATAAACCTCACTGCTAGAGGCAATACATCTGGCAACGCTTACTCAATGATTATTTTATGTTCGCTAGCAAAGAAGTCAGAGGAAACATGTCAGAAGGGTCTAACTCGAAACGTAAACAATGACTTGGATCGTCGGTTTCTTGCGAATGACAACGCACCCACTCACACTAACTAAATAATCTGACAGAACAATGCTTGTTCTTTGAGCTGGTGTAGTCAGATTCCGTGGGCGTGTAGCCATTCAAGAGAAATCGACGTTCAAAGTCATTGTTTACGTTTCGAGTTGAACCCTTCTGACATGTTTCCCCTGAAGTGAAGTCGAAGTGAATTTATTTGTGTTTTATTTTGTTCACCAAGAGATTTGACCAGCTGTTTATATTAGTCTTGTGTATTGGATTACGTTAAATTATAGAATACGTAGAACACAAGTAAGTTAATGCAATGAAGCTGTTTTTACTAGAAAATTAAAGATGTAAAATCATGAAATACGTGCTTTAAATTTTCTGATCGCTTGTGCGTGAATGTATGTTTATACTAATGATGATGATTAAAGAATATTTCAAAATGACAAAGAATCCGAATTGAGTGACGGTGTCTTGAGCCTTAACAGAAAAAGAAAGCTAGCAGTCTCTTCGTCGCATCGATTTGGTCTATTGAAGCTGATATTGTAACGCCCTGGTTAACACATACAGCATATAGTTTTTTGTTGAAAAAATTAAACAGAAATGAAGTAGCGAGCCCAAATTTCGCCTTTAGCAAGTGTAAGCAAAGAAGGGTCTGGCAGCAGTAAAATGTCAAATTGTTTACGTTTGTTACATATGACCTATTCAAAATGTACTTCAGATGTGAGGTTCGAAGACGATCTGCTAAAGTGCACGGTTAGAAAAAAAGTCACCCAAAATTAAGTTCTTTTCACTCATCTCGGCACTATAGTTGTACCCAACAGTAGGTACATATGATTATACTCAACGTTGGGTTCCCACACTTTACTACCCCTGTTGGGTGGTTTTGCACCTCCGTTTTTGACAACAGGAGGAGAAAAGGAGACAAACTAGTCAAAAATAGGTAAAAGTAAACTTTCCGTTGGGTACTTTTTTCTTACCGTGTGGGAGCGCAAACCAAGGCAGATAATCACAGGTGGGCTGGAACTAACGTTCTGCTAGTGTTGGTGAGTTATTTGCCGTTAATGTTCATAAGAAGTTCACTATAAACGGTGCCAAAACAAAATAGTTTACAGAAGGTGTATGCTGGTCAGAAATTGATTTCCCATGCAAGTGATGTGAACTTCGCGAACAAACACGAGGAGTATGATGATAGCTAAACTTGTCAAGTACAATCATCTTAGTTCATTTTAGTAAACAAACCGCTCGAAGAAAAAGATATCCAGAAGTGTGGTGTGCCGGAACTTGCTGGCGCCGGTGGTGTTGTGGTAAGCGTGACTGCTTTCTCACCCCCTCTACAACTTTGCCTAGGACAGCAAACTCTTATCTTGTGAAATATAAAAGTTTGTGCTGCGCCCTCTTTGCGGCCAAAGATGAATTATTTTTATCCTCCAAATTGTAGTTCTAATTGGGTTCTTTAAGGGTATTGAGGTAAATGCATATTCGTAATCTGCATTAAAAATGGAACCCAAACCCAAAATTTCATCAATTTTGGTACACTGGAACTATTTTAAATAAGTACGATTACATTTGCAAAAATCACCTTATTAGCGCCCCTCGGTGTCACTTTGTATGGGAGCGAGCTGTCAGTTTGTTAGTTTAGTGTCAAACAGTGAAGTTATTATTTTGCTTTAAATCTTGATTTAAAAATCGAGATGAAAGTGTGTGGGTTCGAAAAAAATATCGCTGTACTCCGAAAACGAAGCTCTTTCAGATGATCTATAAAAAACGATACATTTTTCAAAATTAAAGAACCCAATTAATACAAGAAACTTCACTAGAGATGTCAACTCAACTAGATGCAATCCTTGAGCGTTATCATTTTTTTCCTGCTAGATTTAATTCCTGGCCCACTGTGCAATGTTTAACGAAAGCCACAGCGTTCTTCGAAGGAAACTTTCACAACTTTTAATCATTTTTAACAGATATAGATAGTATTTTAATAAAATGATCACAACTTTCAAATAAAAATGTAGTGGAAACATAATTGGTCTCAACCAGGCATTACCTGGCAATCATTTACATTCATTTCATGCATTCATTTACATTAATTTGACTTTAATGTTTTACATCAACAGAAATCCTTTAAACGATGAATGAAGTTTTTGTAGGTTTTAATGTTAACTATAACTTTTGTGAATAACTTATATCGGTATCTCTAATGCATGATAAATCAGAGTTATTGTAAATTACATTCACTGAAAAACAAAAACAGTTCTGTCCACTCTAGTTCGTCAAGCATAAGAGATACAGATTTTAGCTATTGACAAAAGGTTTAGCTGATATCAAAACCTACAAAAGCTTCATGCATTATTTTACGGAGCTCTTTGCAGGGATATAATTGTTATGTTCTTTTTAAACCTTGTTCATTTGGAAAATAGCAATAATTTTACATCATGCCACTGTGAAACTTTAAATAAAGAAAAATAAGAATATTGAAAATGTTTCGTTTTAGTCTGTATGAGGAGGCTAAATCAAGCATGACATTTGATAACGGCACAAAAGCATTTGTAAACAATCTTTCTAAGGCCCTTTACACGCGAACCAACAGTGCCGGAATAAGGAACCGAAAGGACCGGGGCTGCTATCCTTAGGAGCCCCCATAGTAAATATTTGCTTTCATAGTTTTAATTTCAAATGCGATAGACTTCCCTCTTACAAATTACATTCATGAACATATGTGCTTTACATTCTAATGCAATACTGCTAAGTTTTTTCATCATCGACTGATCTTAGCCCAATGACAGTGTCAATACCAACCCGAGTTTGGCAGTAGACAGCATGTCCCGGGTACATCATTTTGCTGTGCTGTGCCCACTATCACTTATGACATATTGACTACCGATAATGACATCCTGCCATAGGGCTGACTGATAATGATCAGCTATATAGCAGTACAGGGACACATGTCCAGATAGAGACAAGTGTGTAAACGTTTGCGAATTAAATGTATTAATCGGGGTGATGAATTTGATAGCCTAAACTTCATTAGCCGAGTAGTACGTGAATCTTATTGGTAGGATAGAGGTTATTTTGAATTTCTGGATTTCAAATGACGGATCAGAAAGACGTGTCATGAGAATGGACAAATAACAGAACAAAATTCAAAATTACATAATTGAAAAAAGCACCCTCTCAATCACATTATCCTCGTCTCACTACTACATACCTCACATTCAACATTTTCCTCAAAATCGCATCGCATGTTGATGGGATCAAACAGTAGACCATCATTGCACGCGTGTGACGTTCCTCCGATTGGTTGTCGTTGGAAGCAAATATAGTATCGACTGCAATCCGCGGGATCCGGAACCATCGTTGCCTCCATTGGGTTGATATTATTTGGACACATACTTTCAACACAGTCTACGTTATCCTCCAAATCACACGTCAGGGATTCCGGGTTGAACATAAGACCTGCAGAGCATTCTCTCAAGAATCCAACGCCGTTAGCACAAAGCGTATATTTTCGACATTCATTTTCGATTGGGAAAAATTCGGGTGTAATGAAGGTTTCAGGATCCACCACTTCGGGTTCTTCTTCGGGTCCAATGCAAAGGAGACAAACTACATTCCATTGGTTATCACAGAGCTGGCGTTCTTCATTGAAATAGAACCCATCAGGACAACGGCCAGGCACTTGTGTTTCGCGGATACACGTGAAAAAGGCTTCACATTCCGTAAAATCGTTCACAAAAGAGCCATCCGGGCGTCCAATACAACTGTTGGCTTGTGATCTCGGAATACTGCCTAAAACTAACACAGCAAGGAACGCAAAAACGGTTACTCTATGCATCTCACTTGATACTTCGTCTAAATCGTTTCCAGGAATGATTAACTACTAAAAACGAACCACTTTGGGTCTCTTTCAAATATTATTCAAGCCGTCCCAGCACGATGCTAAATGAAGGATCATAAATCAGATAAAACCAAGATAATCTTCTCACAAGCGATAACCAACTGTTTTGTCGTCGTTTGTTCGAGAAGCGGCTGGATTATTTATTATTGTGGTCTGTGTAATTTCAAACATGCCTGCAATTTTGGCATCCGATTATTTGGGGCCTGTTCATAAACTACGTAGACAGTTTTTTGGGATTCTTGACCCCCCCCTCCCCCTGCGTAGACAATCGCCCATACAAAAAATTTAAAATTTGTATGGACCGTGGATAATTGTTAACCCCCCCCCCCCCCCATAAACTGTCTACGTAGTTTATGGAGAGCCCCTGAACTAATCCCGATTCATGATTTAAAGCGTCGCACGCTGTCGGATTTACAGACGTCATTGAAGCCAAAGAGTAATTGGCACCTTCCAAAAGGATTATACTTCTTATCATATAATTACGTTGGCTCAATTTGATACCGCTTTCAAACACTACTAAACAATTAAGTTGTTGTTGTGAAGTAGTGGAGTTACGGTTGTGGGGATGTTCACCGCTCTGAAAAAAATAATTACGTTTTGATATTTCTAAAATTATTGTAAAATTATATCAAAAATCTAAAAAAAAAAATCACATTTTTTCTAATTTTTCAAAGAAAACTCACGTGCAAAAACATTTTTTATAAGTGATCATGGCATAAAGTTTGACTCAAAACCCACAAAACATTGAATTTTAGGTTTTGCTGAGGGTCCAATTTTTTATGATGAAATAAAAATAAAATATTTTTACGTGTAAATTATCCCAGGAATGTGAGAAAAATATTGATTTTTTTGGATTTAGAATATTTTTAGAAAAATAAAATCGTGCCGGAAAAAAAAATTAACTCAGCCGGCGCCGGTGGTGTGGTGGTAAGCGTGACTGCTTTCTAACACCCCGATGGGTCTGGGTTCAATCCCAGCCGAGGTCGGTGGGATTTTTCTGAGGCATAAAAATCTCTGGTCACGTCTTCCTTCGGAAGGGAAGTAAAGCCGTTGGTTCCGGCCCATGTGTGTTGTGAATGGGTGCGATATCCTACGCAGGTGTGGAAGCTGCCTTCCTGCACATTCGATTGCCGTCAATGGATGGCAATCGATGTCCGTCGGTGATTGGCACTAGATTGCGGAACAGAGACCGACGTTAAATAAAGGAAAGAAGAAAAATTATCTCTCGGGGCTTCCCCTTAAGTATAAGCTATCGCAAATGTAAGGAGCTGTTCATAAACTACGTAGACTCTTTAGAGGGGGGGGGGGCATACAAATCTCCAAAAAGATGTATGGATGATTGCCTACGCGGGGGAGGGGTGGTCTAAAACCTTAATATGGTGGCAAAAAATTCTTGCTTTGTACTTGTTTTTGGGTCCTGCTTACGATGATTTCTCAATTTATTCATCTTGCATACATAAGTCACGAATTGTTCAGATTTCGTTGTTGTTAGAAGAATGAATGTCAGTATTCATATTATAGGTTCTTTCAACCATTGTTTTGTAGCTCGTACTGTATTTTTTTATTATAGTCACTTTAACACTCTTGGGTCATTCGTGACTTGTCCGGGGGGAGATTTGAACTCGTGACTTTGGCGTGAAAGGTATGGATGTTAATCACTACGCCGGGGTCGCCCCGTAGCTCGTACTAAAAACGTATGATTGATTCGTTCACGTCGAAATCAGTGGTACATATGTATACAGAAATTACCCAACGCGCTTTTTCAGTGGTCTTATTACACCAAAATATACCTTAAACATTCATCTAGAAGAATTACTGTCTTGCGCAGATGAGTGAAGGGCGTTGTATCGTGCTTGTGCCTTCAATCAAGGGCGATTCGACTTACTTCTCTGTAAATAAAGATTTTCGAATAATGAAATCATAAGATGTTATACTTTTCATTCTCTGTACTCGTAAGCCATAAAAAGAAGTTTGTCACATAAATTCTTTCAATTTCGTTTAAGCCATTTTTTTTTGCCTGGCGTGTAGATTAGTGGAGTTAAAAACGGTCAGATCAATGTGGGTCAACGGTATTAAAGTTCCAGCGCCACCCTCCGAGACGTTTCCATACATGCTGGAAGTCATCTGTTATCATGAGGAGCTCGATAAGGCACTGCAAATTGCAGTGTAGCCTGCAATGATTATAAAGTCACATTTTGTTATGGATTGCCATAACAGTTGTTGTTCTGTGTCACAATGATTGTTTTTTTTTTGTTAATTACCTTATTTGTGCAGGCTCAATCAAATAATCTTACAGACCCAAATAATCATTTCCGTTATAATTTATACTTACCTTACCAATCAGGCTAAGGCCTTGTTGTCCTCTGCTGTCCGAAGAAGTCGTTTCCAATCTATTCGATCCATGGCCAGACTTCGCCAGCCTCGTAGTCTGCGAAGGGTCCGCAGGTCTTCTTGTTTCTGTTGGTTTGCTTTCTAGAACCATTTTCACTGGGTCGTCGTGTGGCATTCTTACGACGTGCCCAGCCTACCGTAGTCGCCCAATTTTTGCAATGTGGACGATGGATGGTTCTCCCAGCTGGTGCAATTCGTGATTCATTCGCCTCCTCCACGTTTCGTCATCCATCTGCACTCCACCGTAAATGGTACGCAACACCTTCCGTTCGAAAACACCTCCACGAGCATACCCAAGTAACAATTTCCAGTTGAAGAAACGCTTTCGTTTTGATTTTTTTCAGCTACATGTTGAATAATAATTGCACAATGTGTTCACCACAACTTTTATAAAACCCTTGTTTACACTGGTTTAGAGAACCTATACAACTGCAATACAAAGGTGTTGTCTAACGTATTCAGTAAAACGTTTACCCAAAATCAATTTCTTGTTGAAGAAACGCTTCCATTGTGATTTTATTCAACTGCATGCTGAATAATAACTGTACAATTTGTTTATTACAACTTCTGTAAAACTCTTGTTTACACTGGTTCTCCATTCTACTACAGTATTATATGTATACGCGGTATAGGAGTAGAAGCAACTTTTATACAACGTTTATAGATACATATTAAAACACAAGCTTTTTATTTTGGTGAAAGCTCTTATACAACGTTTGTAGACACTTCTTGACAGCTGCTTTGAAATTTAGTAGAGAGTAAAGCTGAGAGGCGTTTGTTGCACTCTTTTATGACTCCTAAATATTACCTGAACAGCAAGCGGTGAAAAGCGTTTATAACACTTTTCAATGACTCCTTAACAACCGGATAGAAGCAACTTTTATACAACGTTTATAGATACATATTTAAACTCAAGCTTTATTGTTTTGGTGAAAGCTCTAATACAACATTTATAGACACCTCCTAACAGCTGCTTCGAAATGTATTAGAGATTGAACCTGAGAGGCGTTTGTTACACTCTTTTATGACTCCTAAATAATCACTATACAGCAAGCGGTGAAAAGCGTTTATAGCACTTTTCAATGACTCCTTAATAACCGTTGTGTAAGTACTCACAATATTCACAGATTAAAATTAGTTTAACAATTGTCGTGGTACGCCAAAATAATTGCTTGTACAGTTTTTATTAATTTAATATATTTGTGAACATTGAAAAAAATATGTAATTATTCCATAATTCACATTCTGTGATCATGGAGTAAGTAGTAACAAGCATCTGTTTAATCTTTGATTGATATTCTTTCAATTAATCTCTCTAATCATTAATTGAGAGAATTTATCTAGAAATGTTATCGTTGATTATATGATATATGTCTTAAATTAATGTTTGCATTTATTAATAACACCTATATATAATTTACCTCTACTCCACCACCGAGGGTTTCTCGAAGCAAGATTCGAACTCATGATCCCGGATTGCCAGCCGCTTCTGTTTCCATCTGCTCTATTCTTGAATACATATTTTGATCATATGAGAGAAGTATATGAAGCTCATCTTGAGTGACTTCTCTTGCAGTCGAATAATCATTGCCTTATGGTCATATAAACGTGCCTATCACTTGTGCTATTTTTAGCAACAAAATTGTGGTTGGTGGTTGGTCGAACGTAAACAATCATTTAAGAGTGCTCCAAGCAGCTTTTGAAGCGTTTAACCAAAAAGGCAATACAACTACATTCTTGTACAACTTTGGAAGCTATTATTCAACGTTTGATCAACTCAGGTGTTTTATAAGAGCTCCCAATGGTTTGTTTTGATGCGTTTATTCCACGTTCTATATAGCTCTTGTCAATCGGTTTAACTAAGGTGCTATAAAAGTTATCGTAGGTCTTATAAAGCATATAGTTAAACCGAACGTAAACAATCATTTAAGAGTGCTCCAACAGCTTTTAAAACTTTTAATCAAATGGAAATACAACTACATTCTTGTTCAACTCTGGAAGCTATTATTCAACGTTTGATCAACTCAGGTGTTTTATAAGAGCTCTCAATTGTTTGTTGGGTAGTCCAGGTCTCGTGACCGTAGAGGACCACCGGTCTAATCAGCGTATTGTAAACAGTCAACTTCGTGCGGCGGCGAATTTTATTCGACCGGAGCGTGCTCCGGAGTCCAAAGTAGGCACGATTCCCTGCCATAATGCGTCTTTGAATTTCTCTGCTGGTATCATTTTCGGCGTTCACCAGTGAGCCCAAATACACGAACTCATCGACCACCTCGATTACGTCACCGTCTATCTGAACTCGGGGTGAGAGGCTAACATTGTCTTCCTTAGAACCTCTACCTTTCATATATTTTGTCTTTGATGCGTTGATGGCAAGTCCAATCCGCCTAGCTTCAGCCTTCAGTCTGATGTACGTTTCCGCCATCATCTCAAAGTTCCGTGCCATGATGTCCATGTCATCGACGAAGCCAAGAAGCTGGATGGACTTCCTGAAGATCGTGCCACTCGTGTTTATCCCTGCTCTTCTGATCACACCTTCTAACGCGATGTTGAATAGCAGACACGAAAGTCCATCACCTTGCCGTAACCCCCTTCGAGATTCAAAGGGACTCGAGAGTGTC